CGAACACGGTCGATCCCCTCTCCGAGGCCCCGATAGAATTCCTCGCACACAATTCTATTGTCCCACCTGTTCGCTAGCCGTTTGACAATTCAAAGGGCGGCCTAACAACTCCCAAGGACGGCGCCGTGGCATTACGACAATGACAATAATGCCCATGATGTCTAGCATCCTATCGCAGCGGCTGATCATCCTCAGCGATTCAAGTTCCCCCACTTCTTGATATTGATCAGGCTTTTCCATTCGCCTGCCCTTTTCCACTGAACTTCCGAACCAAACCCTCAATATCTGCTCGTTCCAGTCTCTTTCCGCAAGCAAGCCCTTCTACAAGAAGCATGCCGGATTCACTACTTTGGATTAACAAGGACAGTGGGTCGACAGTACTGTCGCGCAGTTCCAAGGCCGAAACTCGACAGATTCGAAAACATGTCCAACACGAAAGACAACTCAGAGCCAAAGCCGCTCATGACGCAGCTGCCAAGTCGACCCCTTCGGCAGAAAATAACCCTAAGAGAATCAGAGGAAAGGATCACGTTGACGCCGAACAGACACCAGTTCCGCTAGGACAGCCAGATCTTCGCCTGGATACAAATGTGCAAGTTCAAAGTCCTGATTACCCGCGTTCGCTCTTCCCGGCGTCTTTATCACCAACTGTCAGGTCCCCCATGACCCCTTCGACCCGAATCTTGCAGGCTGTAAGCACTTTCCCGGGACTTGAGCCCCAGGAGTTGCGCAGCTTGGTTTTCTTCTGCCAGAGAACCGCGCCCGAGTGGTCCGGTTGGAGAGACGCAATATTCTGGAACAAGCTCATCCTTCAGGCATGTCACATAAACCGCTCCATTCTCCACGGAGTAGTCGCCCTCGGCGCACTTCATGAATCGTCCGAGGTGGACGGAGAGTCAGATGAACGCTCGAATTTGCAAGAGTTGGCTCTCCACCAGAGCAGCAAGGCTTCTCGAATAGCGTATGAAACCGCAATGTCTGATATCGCCACTCTAATCTCGTGTGTCATCTTTATATGCCTTCAGAATCTCCAGGACAGCCACACCGCCTATCAACTACTGAAGTCGGGACATAGCTTGATTACCGACATTGACAAAAGACTAGGAACCGGTGATCTCAGCCTTTCTGACAGCGAAAAGACGGTCCTGAACAACTTCCTTCGCCCCATTATTGAGCGTCTGCGCATGAGGTTCTGCAGTATCGTCGACATCCCTTCTGCCTTGGCCCTCAGTGCCTCCATCAAACTGAGCAAGGTGGAGCATCGCTTGACGCTGCCAGAAATCCCCTACTGCTTTGGAAATCTCTTCGAGGCGCGCAACAAGCTTGAAGAAATTGTGGAGTGGGCGCAAGAGAATATAGACCCGTCGTTCGCGCCCAGTGAACAGCGGTCACAGGTGCAGGCTTTGCTGGCAAGCTGGAATGCCGCCCTCGAAGATACAAGGATCACTGCACTTGAGCGATATGATGCTTTGGTCACTTCGAAGAAGCTCCTGAGAGCCGCCGCACTGGTCGCCTCGATCCTGTTCGATACTCTGGGGACGAGTGAGGAATGCAGCTATGATCGCCACCTTGACAAATTCGCAGAAATTGTTGATCTTTACACTGAGGCCATCGGCAACCCTGCTAGAGCTTTTAGAAGAACTTCGTTCGGAATAGACTCCGGGGTGATCGATACCTTGGCCTTTGTTGCTGGAAGATGCCGCGATCCAATTGTTCGGAGAGCTGCCGTCCACTTACTAGCCCAAACAAACAGGACTGAAGGGGATCTTCAAGGCTGTACAGGTAGCACCATCTTGGAGGCACTCATGGAGCTGGAGGAGGACGGTGTCGTTGCGACGGAAGCAAGCCAGATTCCAGAATCCCAAAGGCTACGCATCTGGGAGGACCACCAATACTGGGATACCGGCAAAATTCAAATTTTCTTCGTCAAGTGGCCTTACGACCCCTCATTGGGTGCTGAAATCAAGACGGCTTCTGTCTACCTGCCGATGAAGGCGCTGAGGACTGCAAAGGAAAAGGCGACTCCCGGCAGCCCGACAGGATTGCCCAATGTCAAGTATGGTCGGGGGGTCGGCGCGTTTCTGGAAGAAGGCACCCAAACCTACCATCAGATCACATTGTCTTCCTTTTTCATGCCGATGCCGAGGCTCTGAAGCTCTAGCAGTTGCTGTGGAAAGTCCGAAGCACGCGGAGGAGACAGTTTGCCTCCGTTCTTCTGCTAGCCATCCAGACTGTGTTTCCTCCAGGAAGTGACTAGAATGCAAGCCCAGCAGGTGTGTGATGCCGGGGATGCACAACGTCAGTTTTCAGCAGAGCACCAGTTCATAGAGGACTGCGTATTCCGCTAGCTCACTCGCTCACCATTTGTCGCTAACTAACTCTAGTCCACCCCCTCTCCGGTGGGAAATGAACGAGTGTCGCGGGGACCGGATATACAAGCATCAAGCCAGCTACTTACCTGGGAATAGTTGCGAGATCTACTGGAATTTGCCGATTGGTCTGCTTCTTGGCTACGACCCGTCCTATGAGATCAGTGCTCCATCTCGTTGTCGTGAGGTGTTTTTGGTCAAGGCCAGACGATCGTACGGTATTCATGAGGACACCCCAGCACCGACTGGAAGTGGTTCTCTTTCTAACACCAGAATCTAGGCGATATCTAAGGGATGCATAAAGAGCTACCTGGAGGAACTACCGCATAGCGTAGCACCTGAAGCCAACTCCGAACCACCGTCGCCGAAAAGCGAACTCGACCACATGTTTGCGCAAGTAGGACAGCTGATTTTGACGCCCAGCCCAACATAAATACCACGTTGACTGGAAAGATATCTCCCAGGGGTTTGTCAATTTCTCCCAAGACTCAATATGTCGTCTAAATATGGTTATCTGCCTTCGTACCAAGCTCGCGAAGTCGAAAAGCATGAGGCAAATTGGCGCGACATCCCCAATGCTAATCGCAACTTTACGAAAGCCGAGGTAGTCATTGTTGGTGGAGGAATATCTGGAATGTGCATGGCAATCGATCTTTTAGTCACCCAGAGGGCCAAGAACATAATACTCCTGGAGAAGGGAGGTGGTTTCGGGGGAACTTGGTTAGTACCTCAACAACCACACCACGGATGATACTAATGAAAGCCAGGAGAGATAACAGATATCCTGGTTGCTGTTGTGATGTCTTCAGCGTGCTTTACTCCTACTCATTTGCACAGAACCCCCGATGGTCTCATCGTTATCCGGGCCAGGAAGAGATTCTGGTTAGTTCTTTCTCCTCGTATGTGCTTGTATACTGAGGGTCACCAGGACTACCTGACCAGCGTCGCTCAAAAATATGGACTTTATAAGTATACTCGGTTCCACACAACCGTCGAGGCTGCCAACTGGAATGATAGATGCCTCAAGTGGGAAATAACAGTGACTGTAGGCGAAGGGAAAGAATCCGAGTTCACCCCTACCTATCAAATCACCAGTGACTTCTTGGTGGCGGCGACTGGCCAACTCAACAATCCCAAAGGAATGGATACTCCCGGATACAACGATTATCAGGGGAAGATCATGCATTCCGCCAGATGGGACTGGAGCTATGACTTGAAAGGAAAGAAAATTGCTGTCATTGGGACCGGTAAGACGCTTTGCTCTGATCCTTGCTCTTCTGACTGACACGTCACAGGCGCCACGTCTGCACAGATCGCTCCAGAAATCGCAAGACTGGCATCTGAGATTACCATCTGTCAGAGAACACCCGCTTGGGTTATTCCACGCCATGATGAGAAGATTCCCCACTGGCAGCAAACCCTACATACATATCTCCCCCCAGCACGCTGGCGAGCTCGAGCGGAGGCCATGGACTTTCGGGAATCTTTTCACTCCGCAGTCACCCAAGCTGACTCGGCTTATGCCGATCTGATGAGATCTATGAACTACAATCTCTTGAGGGAACAGCTGCCTAATCGTCCTGACCTTTGGGATAAATTGTCCCCTAGATACCATCCTGGATGCAAGAGGACTGTGATCAGTGACGACTACTACCCTACTTTTTTGAGGCAAAATGTCAAATTGGAGACCGACAAGATCGAACGATTTACGCGAGACGGAATCAAGTTCCAAGGCCATGACTCGGCAGAAAAGTTCGACTTGATCGTGATGGCGACTGGATTTGATACATTCTCATTCTTGTCGCCCATTGGCATCACCGGGCGCAACCGCAGGCGGCTGGAGGACATCTGGGCGAAAGCGACTTATGCTTACAAAGGCGTGACGGTGCCAGATCTTCCGAATTTTGGCATGCTGTATGGGCCAAACACAAATCTCTCCCATAACTCTTTGATACTTGTTATCGAAGCGCAGACAAAGTACATCTCAGTCCTTGTCAATAAGGTCCTGCAGGCTAGACGCACAGGTGGCGGACTGGCATTGTGTCCATCGGAAGAGAAGACTCTCAGCTATTGGCTCGACCTGCAAAAAGCGCTGCAACAGACATCGTTCGCTGACCCGAATTGTAACAGCTGGTGGAAAAGAGCCGACGGTCTCATCACGAACAACTGGGCGGGAACAGCCATTGATTACCAGAAAAATTTGGCAACAGTAGAGTGGACAGACTATGATGCGTTCGGCATGGGAGGCTCTGAGGTTGCCATGTTCGGGACAGCCGATAAAGCCACCAAGATCCGAAGAGTTGTGGAGGAGACCAGACTGAGCAGGACTTCTTTGGGGCTTCTCCTTGTGGGTATTGTTGGATTTATCCTACAGAGTATCGCTTGGACAGCGTGGAAATAACGATGAGGTACTACGAGTGCCTATGTCAAGAATGATACTCTTCGTTTCGAAAATCGTGGCCTGCATTTTGAGGAGCTGTGTCTTCAAGACTGCGAGAGCATTCTTAGCCGGTCAGCTTCAATGCTCGTTACATCTGGTATTTCGGTAAGCTCAAGAACTTGTGTTGTCCGAGGCTTGTTGACTATCGAGAGGGTGTGTTTCCTGCTGTAGTCGCTCATGCTTAGTTCGTATTAAATGAAGCTGGATATCAGAGCCGAAGGTGGGCCTACCAAGTGATGTAAGTGCGCAATCCAATCTACTGCGCCCAGATCATCGAAAATATGTGCAAAATCTGTGGTCGTTTCTTCAGTCCAGCTATCTTGTATTCCGTCCTGCAAAGGGATTTGTTCGACCCCCCGTGAGACACTGTGGGCGTCGTCACCATAAGCTGATCCATGCGTCGACAGACGGCGGCACGTTTCTTGCCGCAGCTCCTCCAAAACAATGGCATACCTTGTCCCTGGTGAGTTCTCCCTAGCAGCCGCTGCGAGCCTCTGCTGACAGCTCTCTGCCATGGCGAACCAGTCTCTCTCCTTGCCAGAAGCGAGAAACGATGACTGAATACCTGTCTCGTCCGAAGCAAAGGCTGCTGGGGTGGAGACTAACTTCTGGTGCTGTTGTATCGTGTAGATGTAGACGACTGCCACGGCACAGAACGAGATATACTGTGTGAACCACCAGGAATGGAAAGCAATGCCATTACCATCGAAACTTTTCAGAACATCCACCACGCTGCGAGCAGCGGCAACGCAGTCGTGAATATAGCGGACGGCTTGTTGCGTCAAATGAGGTGGGTTCGAGGCGGTTGCAAAATTGTTCAAAAGAAATGGCCTGTTGGCGTGAATAGCGGCGTGGGCGTGTGCCAGGAAAAGAGTAACTGACTGTCGTTGAAACTTGGGGATCAGACTCGAGGCAGGAATCATACCGAGGAATGGCGGCAGCTCCCCTTTCCATGCTGCCAGGTCTGCAGATATACTTTGGGCTTGTGAGAGTCTTTCGTCTTGACCTATTCGCCGCAGAGGGTATACTTGAGCAGAGCTTTGGGCACTGATCCGGGCAAGCCTGAACTCGGATTTAGCAATTCCATCACTCGACAACGAGGCTGAGGGAGGAGATACTTGATATGCATGATGGGTGCGTCCATGTCACAGTCAAAATGACCTCCCCTGGGCTCAATGCCTTCAAACGTCAACTCATCATCATGTACTCTTGCTGGAAAGTCCTGATCAGCATCAAAATCTTGGAGAGTCCGTGGACGGCCACCCATAACGCTGAGATACCGATCTAGAACATAGGCGACCCAAAATGCTCGCTTGCGACACTCATGTTCGATGGCTCCGATTTCCGATCTGTAGCCTCCTGGCCGCTTACGGCGATGAAGGCCCAGGGTGATGATTAATGCGACCGTGGCCCCGAATTTCGAGTAGACTTCGTTTGCATGTCGACTGGATAAGAGGTGCAGACATTCGACAAGCCTCGCCTGGACCGAGTCCAGAGTTGGTGCACCACGTTCTCGCTGCAAGCGTCTTTGCGCAGCCTCGAGGAGCAATTCACTGTCGTCACTCTAAGAGTCAGCGACGTGGCAAGAACAAAGTCGGTTACTTGAAAGCACCTTTGTCTGTAGTCTCCGAAAACGCCGTCTGCGCCACAATCGGAGGCAGCCACCGCAAAAATCATTAACAAGAGCGTGACTTGGCTTTGAGATATAGTGCTGTGAGCAGTATGTGGCTCACTTGGCTGTTGATACAGCATATTGACCAGGTTCGTGACTGCACCCTTGTGGAGGAACCGGAAGAAAGGCGTGGCGATTTCAAAATATCTCTCGACTAGGTTATAGGCCTGAGACTTTGACGGCATGCGGAAACGCTCATCTGCGAGGCGCATTTCATTGCCGTCGGTCACCAAAAGAGGCTCCTCAGCTGACATCTCCTTTTCCAGAGTCTTTGATATGCTTGAGGCGTGGTTCTCCCGGATGCGTTTCCAGGCTCTTTCCAGGAAGGTAATTGGAGAAGAAGGCCCATGATACTGGCCGCCAATATTCGTACTGGGGACTGGCGAGTTCCGTGATGAGACATGTGCCGCGTGTCCAGAACCAGAGTGCTCATTGGAGTTGTCCACATGTTGACGGGACTTCGTTGAAATGATCGAGCCTCGACTCAGTATGGAAGGGATATCATCCAGTTCATCCTGTGAACCAGGGCAGACCTCACCCTGAGCAGCCACTGAAGCCGTTGGTACTGTGGGTAGGCGACCCCTGGTGTAGCTGGCAAAATAATCACAGGAAAGGTGTAGGTGTCTGCAACGGACACATGGTTGATCTCCCGAGCAGCGTGTCCTCTTTCTGTCCCTGCGTGTCAGCAGCGAAATATGGCAACGTAAATACCGTTGACAGCTCACTGTTTGCAAGCATCGCATGCTCTGCTGACCTTGGTTCTTCTGGCCTTGGCACTGCCGCCGTTTCTGCTTCCCGTCAACCCCATTGAGCTTCGCCTCACACGGGAATTCTGGTGCTCAGGCCTGCATTTGTCACCAAGAAAGATTGCCGCTTCCTGCAAGTTGGGACTGAAACCGGTACTGCCAATCTCGAAGCTGTAGGAGGCGGGGGACATAGCGTCATTTACTCCAGAAGCCGGGATCAGGTTCTGTAGCGAAGGTGCAGGTGGTAGCATGAATCGACCCGGTGATCTCTCAGTGTCCATTTGGGCAGGCTCATTTGCACAGAGGAAGAATTGGCTCGACGCGGATATGTGATGGAAAACATTCCCAGGATCACGGAAAACATTTTTGTTGGCGGAGAATGAATCTTTAGCCTGCTATTGAAATTAGCCCTGGTATCCTGGGGGCGAATGGGGTAAAACAGCCTTCGGATTTCTCACCAAATCCCATGCGGCGATATTCCGTTGGAGCAGTTTTCCGCGGTTCAAGGGGAATTCTCAGACTCATATCGTTCTTGGAAGCGGCTAAGATGAATGCTGGATGATGGAGCAGAAGTCCTAAGTTGCAAATAAAGAAGCTGCTCAACCGAATCCATAGCACTCCAAGCACTTCTCGATACGAGCTGAGTCCTACCACCACCACTTCATCAGTCTTCTTAGTATTGCTCCGTCAATGAGCTCTGCATGTAAGATTGATCCTTGACACAGTATAGAGCAACATGGGCCCCCTTGGCATCTCTTTTCCAACTTTCAGCGACCTGTCTGTCGGTCAAGCTGCCCACTACATTGCAGTTTTGACGCTCTTCGTCCCATTGTTATACCTGGTCATCAACGAATTGATCCGCTACTCTGTGAGGCTCCCCGGTATACCTGGACCAGTCGGTCTGCCGCTTGTAGGAAATCTGTGGTCCATCCGGAAGAATGCTGCAGAGCAGTATCGGATCTGGTCCAAGAGATACGGATCCGTGTATCAAGTGTCACTTGGAAATGTGCCTATAATTGTTGTCAACTCTGCGGAATCAGCAAGAGGCCTCTTTGGTCAACACACTTCCGCGTTGAGCTCAAGACCAGAGTTTTATACTTTTCACAAAGTACGTATGCGAGGCACGTCGTCTTGGATGGGTCGAGAGCTGATATAGGAAAAGGTCCTCACGGGCGCAGCAACCACTGTTGGTACCACTCCATACAGTGACAGCCTGAAAAGACGACGGAAAGTGACAGCGACAGCACTTAATCGCCCTTCTGCCCAAAGATACGTCGCCCACCTCGACCTCGAAACGAGGGAGTTCTGCAAAGACTTACTTGTCGAGGGTCAATGGGGCAAGAAGGCATTTGATTGTTATCCAAGTGCACAACGTCTCAGCTTGAGTCTTGCATTAACCACCAACTGGGGTATTCGGATGGAATCTCGCGATGACAGGCTGTTCAACGAGGTAATTGAAGTGGAGGACCAGGTAAGCCGTTTCAGGAGCGTTACTGGGAACTTACAAGATTATATTCCGCTCCTGAGGCTCAAACCGTTCAATCAAACGGTGATGAAAGCTAAAGCTACACGCCATCGACAAGATGCCTACCTCGATCAGCTGAATCGAGGTCTTCTCGACCGTATGGAAAAGGGGATTCAGAGCCCCTGCATTCAAGAAACGATCATTAATGACCCGGACATCCGACTCAACGAAGAAGAAGTCACCAGCATAAACCTGACTATGATATCTGGCGGTCTCGACACGGTCACTACAGCCGTTGCTTGGCTTATAGCGGTTTTGGCTAAACGCCCTGATATTCAAGAAGCTGCTTATGAAGCAATTCAAGAGCTGCATGGTGCTGAAAGTCCCCTTTGCGACGCCAATGATGACCAAAAGATCCCTTATATTGTGGCGCTGGTGAAGGAAGGGTTGAGGATGTATACCGTTCTCAGACTCAATTTGCCACGGACTTCTATCAAAGATATCACTTACGATGGCATGAATTTTCCTAAGGGAACAACGTTCTTTTTAAATGCTCATGCCTGCAATATGGGTAGGACATCTTTTCCTTTCCATCTCATGCCTCCCGCTGACAGAATCGCTGAAGATCCCAAATTATGGCACGATCCTGAGGTCTTCCGACCAAGTCGCTGGCTAGAACAACCAGATGCACCTCTGTTCACATATGGTGTTGGCTATCGTATGTGTGCTGGGTTCTTGCTCGCCAACCGTGAGCTCTATCTCATTGTTATGCGACTTATTTGCTGCTTCAAAATTGGGCTTGAAGGTGATGTGGACCTTGACCCGGTTCGTGGTACCGCCGATTCATCCAAGCTGGTCGCACAGCCTCATCGTTTCCGCGCAACGTTTGTTCCAAGGGATGCGGTACTACTCCGAAAGGTGCTAGGAGAGACTTCCTCGATTCAATGAGAAAAGAGACATGTCTGAATCAATAACTTTGGTGGAGAGGGTAGATAGAGCAGTGAGGTTCTGCTGCTGGATTGCTGCCAGATGGTATATTCATTTGAAGAGACGGTCTTGCCACCGACTCCCATCCATGTCATTCTCAATTCAGGCCTAGAGTCCGGGCCGACATGACCCCAGAATGGCTGCAGTCGATATCCACCCTGTGGGAAATAGTTTTGATTCGCACCAACCAAACACAAATCCGCGTCTTTTGAAAATGTCGGAAAAGGCATTGCTTTTCCAGCCGCACGTCAATCAGCAAATCCTGAAATCCAGGGTTGGATTACGACCAGGATGATACCCAATCACCATCCCGGATTCCATGTGGTATGATCTTACAACCGGGGATGAACGGAGAACTACCCCGGCGGGTGTTATGGTTGTTGTCTGCTACTACCTACCGTGTGAGGGTATAATGCATTGCCGACGGAATCCCTCTGCAGGTCTCATGCATTCCATCGGTCTCCCCACAGGTTTGAATCGTTCTAGACTTGGAATATATTGACATTGGTTCCCAGTGTCCAATTCCCGCTCCGGGTCACTTCTTGTGTTTTGCAGGAGCTCATCCGTCAACCTCTTTGCATTTGCGAGACCACCGACAGCATGGCTTCTATCCTTAAAAAGATCATTCGCAATGACGCTATGAAGGAAGATCCTGTCGAGATCTATGGATGGAGATCTTTCGTGCTGACCTTGACAGTATGTGCCATTTATCATATTCGAGTCCCAAGGCTGCATTCTCTTACAATCCACATTCTGAAGTGCGCAGGCACTGACTTCATTCTTCGCAGGCATGTATGTCCGGCATGCTCTTTGGTATGGACACGGGTATCATTGGCGGTGTCATCGTTCTCCCTGCTTTCACCAAGTCAGTTGGCTCAATCCTCCTTGGGCACAAAGCAATTGACAAGGGCGTAGGAAGTATCATTTTGATGGCCTCAGCAAAAACGATGCCGCAACCCTCTCGGCCAACATTGTCTCGTTCCTCCAGCTCGGGTGCATATTCGGCGCTTTACTTGCATACCCTTTCGCCGACCGATATGGACGACGTGCTTCCTTGATGGGTTCTGCCTTCATCGGCCTGGTGGGAATTGTCATGCAATTTGCTGCCTCGGGTTACCTAGGGTGCATGTATACAGCTCGGTACGTCTCACACCAACGACACTCGGATAGATATCATCATCTGACCACCCTGTAGGCTTATTGCTGGCCTTGGAGCAGGAGCGTGCTCAATGATTGCTCCTCTTTATGTCTCCGAGAACGCTCCTCGGGCTCTCCGGGGTGCGCTTACTGGAACCTTTCAGTTCTTCAACACTTTCGGTGTGATGCTTGCATTTTGGATCGACTATGGTGCCGAACTCCACCTTACCGGCTCCAGCTCCTACATAGTTCCTCTAGCAACACAAGGAATACCGGCAATCCTTTTGATCGTTGGCATGTTCTTCATGAATGAATCCCCTCGCCATCTCGCCAAGCAGGACGAATGGGAAAAGGCCAAAAAGGTCCTGTCTTTGGTTCGGAATCTTCCCGAGGACCATCCCTATTTGCAGAGCGAGTTTCAAGACATTGCCATCCAACTTGAGCGCGAACGCTTATTGATCAACGGCGCAGGCTGGCGAGCTCTACAACGTGAGATGTGGACGATACCTGGCAACCGGAAACGAGCCTTGATCAGCTTTGTCCTCATGATGTTCCAGAATTTGACCGGTTCAAATGCGATCAATTACTACGGTGAGGCCCATGGGCTTATGGCTGGTTGGTCGTGTTAAGATCTGACTGGTTGTTTTCTAGCACCCACAATCTTCAAGAACATAGGGATCACAGGGACTTCAGTGAGCCTTCTGGCGACCGGAATTTACGGAATTGTGAAGATGTGCTCGTGTGCGACCTATCTGATATTCTTTGCTGATTCGCTGGGGCGAAGACGATCTCTCCTTTGGACTGCCATTGCCATTGCCTGCGACATGATGTACATTGGGCTCTACGTTCGCATCTCGCCGCCCAAACCTGGTGTGCCGATCTCGGGTGCCGGATACTTTGCGCTTGTCTGCATCTACTTGTTTGCAGTCTTCTTCCAAATGGGATGGGGGGCGACACCCTGGATATATGTGTCAGAAATTCCCAGTGCACGACTGCGCTCTATGAACGTGTCCATCGCTGCATCCTCCCAGTGGCTCTGGAACTTTGTCATTGCAAGAGCCGTGCCAAATATGTTGGTGAACATGGGGAGTAATGGATATGGGTGAGTCCATTGTCAAAGCATCGAAGGAAGCCCACCAATATTACCCGGTCGCTAACGTGTGGATGCAGAACCTACATATTCTTCAGCGTCTGCTGCCTCTGTTCATTTGTGTTTGTGTGGTTCTTTGTTCCAGACACTAAAGGTGCGTACACGGGAGAAGTAGAAAAGACTCTACCCATCTAACCCATTGATAGGGATGTCTCTGGAACAGATGGATGACTTGTTCGGAGTGACCGAGCTCGTCCATCAAAAAGTTGGAGGTGAGCCGGCCATGACCCATGATGGGGAGACGAAAAGCACCCATGGGGTCGAGACTCTTGTGGAGAATGTTGGCAAGGTGTAATTGAAGCAGACAGAGCAGCCATGCTGCCATGGTAGGAGGAGAAAATGGCGGCAGGATCTGGGATGGTCTCTGGACGACAACCAGTACTCTCTGCTAAGCACTCCTATGAAAAGTTCTTATCGTGCCTAATTCAGGTTGTACTTAACAAGCTCCCCGACCGTGTATATACCTAGGTGGATTTGTGCCTTCCTAGAATCCGTGCATTCAGAGTACCTGATTCATTCAGCACTACCACATCTTCACCTCCACCGGGCCCCACCAGGAAAGCCTGGAAAGTACTCCGCCAAAAGCGTTTGGGGAAGTGGAGTGAGATCTGAAGGAGCAGCAATGCTCTGTCTCCAATAGGCGAATGTGGGGTTGAAGATCTCAGGGAGTGACTTGGAGGGCCCCATTTGGAGCAAGTATACCCCTGCAGTCCATCAGTGGTAGATATTCAAAAGGCAATGGGAGATGACTTTGTGATGCGGCACAGAGGTCGAACATCATCGTGTACTGAATTCTACCGTGAATCAGCCATGGGTTCGGGAGACGCCAAATTTCCAATCCGATACAACGATCCTGAATATCAACAAAATCACCGCAACCTCTTTTCGCATTCTCTTCTATGCCCCCTCGAGGATGTCCTTCCACCTGGTGTCAATCAGCAGCAGTTTGATTGTGCAGTTGCCGAGTTCGGAGAAGCGGTCGGGAAGGACAATATCTTCAAAGGACAGGCGCTGGAAGAGTATGTAGATCCCTATGAATTGTGGGAGGATGAAGGCAAAAGGAAAATGCCGAGTGCGGCGGTATGGTGAGTGTCGCCATGGGAAAGCGAATGCAGCTCTCACTGAACATTCAGTCCTTGTTCAATCGATGAGCTCCGGGCAGTCTTGAAAGTCGCCAACAAATTTGGTATTCCTGTTTGGACCTTCTCGCGAGGGAAGAATTTGGGGTGAGTGTGTGAACTGGAAGAGTGAGTCCAGAAACTAAGACCCGCAGATATGGAGGACCAGCGCCAAGGCTTAATGGGTCCGTCGCACTCGACTTACATCGCATGAACAAGATTATTGAGGTCAACGACAAGTTCTCTTACGCGGTGGTCGAGCCGGGAGTCACCTTTACAGACCTGTACCTCTACTGTGTCGAGCACAAGCTGGGAGTCTGGCCAAGTGTTCCTTCACTGGGATGGGGAAGCGTGGTCGGGAACGTAAGCGATGCACTCATATTGACTGGCAGAAATACTCATCGTCTTACAGACCGTGGACCGCGGTACCGGTTTCACACCCACAGCAACACACCATCAGCACATCAGTGGAATGGAGGTCATGCTTGCTGACGGCGACCTTGTGCGGACGGGCCAGTTTGCGATATCCAACTCCCCATCAGCACACCTCTCCAAGTTCAGTTTTGGTCCGTCCATCGAAGGCTTGTTTCTGCAGAGCAATCTGGGAATCGTCACTAAGATGGGGATCTGGCTTCATCCGCAACCACAAGCCTACATGTCCTGCACGTTTGACATGCCTAATTTTGAAGACGTCGAAATCATTGTTGATATATTCGGATCATTACGCAGAGATGGCCTGTTACCTAACACAGTATACGTCTCGAATATTGTGGAATGGTTGGGTATGACGGGAAAACGTGCTGAGTTGTGGCCAGAAGAAGGTCCTATTCCAGACTGGCGGCTCCGGGAACTTCAAAAAGAACTAGGGTTCGGATACTGGAACGTCAAATTTGGCCTGTATGGTGCAAAGGCGGTGGTCCAATCCCACTTTGACGAATTGAAGAGGATAATAGGACAAAAGGTGCCTGGCGCAGAGTACCGTCTTCAAGGTCACCTCTTCTCTGGGGAAGACGACAAGCTTCTAGATGCAAATTCGATCCCGGATCCCCATGGTGGCTTCTTCGTCGGAGTTCCCAGCCTGTGGAGCCTACCAATGGTGAGATACAGATTGCCAAAAGAAAAGGCCGGCATAGGCGCCCATGCGGACTATTCTCCCATCATTCCCTCTGATGGCAAAATGGTGCTTGAGTGGGTGAAAACGGCTCGCAATATCTGTGAAGGCCGAGGATTCGACCTCTTCTGCGACTTTTTTATGCATGAACGACACCTCATTTTTGTCAACATGATGGTCTTCGATAAGGCAAACCCCAGCCATCGGAAAACGGTGGATGCAATTTTCCGGGACCTGTACAGAGAAGGTCGACAAAGGGGTTTCAGCAAGTATCGGTCCCACATTAACTACATGGGTATGAAAGCATTGCACCATTCCAAGGACCATGTCTGACCAAGCTTCTAGATCTGGTTGCAGACGCGTACGACTTCAACGATCACGCATACCGGAGATTTGTGGAGAGACTGAAGGTTCGTGAACCAGAAGACCACCTCATCTAGTAGTTGCTCACCAGCTGGTAGGATACAGTAGACCCGAATGGAATCCTGTCACCCGGTAAGCAGGGCATATGGCCAGCGAAATATCGTCATCTCAAAGAAAAGCTATAGAATATGCCCCTTCACCAGGTTGGCGTATTGGACGGGAATTTCATCTATTTGCCTATGGACAACGTTGCCCGGACTCAACTGCTTCTACTCCGGCTCTGACTCGTCGAATTCTCCCGAGTCGACTAATAGCCACGATCATCACAGGCTCCCCGGCGTGGCAAGTGAATCCATGGCTGTATGATTGCTAGACTGCGGTTGTCAACAATCATTTCCGGTGTCTCTGCATTGTAGACGCAGTCCCCAGAATTTTGTACCAGTTCGAATCGGAACCCTGTTGGCTTTCCAAAGACTCTTTTGGCAACGCCGTTATATCCATAAACCGAGGTAGGAACTGGTGCACCTACCAAATGTGCATTTAAATAGCAGGGCAAGACGAGCTCTCTTACTTGGAAATCAATACTTTGAGGACCCTACCACTCACGTCTTCCAAACTTATGATATCTACTTTACCACACTATTCTTCAGTTACTGACTGCTTATACCTTACGTCTGCTGGACCTAGCTTATTTGACAGAGGAACCGTGACTGAAGGAAGCCAACCCCGTTAGGCCAGACAGGAAGCAGCTCTGATAGCTAAGTAGTCGTCTTCGACAACCGGCGAAATCTAGAGAGGGATTCAAAATGTATTCCGCGACGGGACACTACCATTTGAGGGCAGTTCCAGCTCGTAAAGGTCGAGTTCCCGGGGCTATTATTAATTTGCTTGGGGCCCTCATTTGAGGCAAAGGTACTTAAATGCATCTATAAAAGACCCATCACTTCGGGTGACATGGTCCATGGCACCGACATCTCAAACCCTTCGTGTTCAAACATTGCAGGAAACAGGTCGAGGTCGTGCTCGTGAGATATCACAGAACCTGGCTCCGAAGAGAAGATTGGGAGCGATTGACTCAATTGAGACAAGAGACTGTTGTCAGCCTCGTTCCAGGTGGTCCGGCTTTGTGAAGGGAGCGAAGGAAAGTTATATCGGCGCATAAGATAGAGCACCTGCTTGGACAGGGTCCGCGCGCAGGCGAAGGAGACTTGCATCTCTTGCACGCTGCGGACACACGAATCCACGAGTTCGAGACACTCGCCCGCATCGCTCTCCCCTCTGTCCATCCAATTCGCTATCAAAACCAACACTGCGATGATGATGCCGGAGATTGAGTTACCTATCATGGTCCGCGCACTCCCGTGATGAGTTCTGTAGTCTTTGGTGATGGCTGCGACCCGTAGGGCGTGACTGATGCAGGTCGAGCGGGCAGTAACCGTCTCCGGGGAAATATCTGGGATCGCTGCCCCGAAACGAGCTTCTGAGAGCCTTTCCAGCATGCAGGCACTGTGATAATGGAGACTTGGCTCCCAAGTCAGCAGAGTCAGCGACAGATAGTAAAGACGGCCATCTCCATAGCCTCAAGGAAGAGAGCACTTGGCCTCGAACAAGATACGCCATTCGCGGAGGACAACCTACTGTAACACGTGAACAGCGGGTGGCGACTCTGGAGCGTAATGAAGGCTCGGATGTAGCGCTGACAGCCACTTGCGCGCGTCTTGTTGCAGGAGCATGTTCGACGGAAGTTTTCGATTTCTGTGTAGACCAAGTTAGCAAGCGGCGGAACGCGGAGTCGAAGTTGTGGATACATGGAATCGCATATGCGCTCGAGGAGTTCACTCAGGCCAGCCCAAGCACCAGCAATGACATCGTCCCACTTGTGCTCGCCCGGTGATGCTGCAGGACGACTTTGAGTGACATCGTCGAGGCTTATCAGATGAGGTCGCCCAAGGTATGTCGACCACAACCTGTGATTACGAGGGTCAATATATACGACGTCAAAACCGAGGGCCAAGCCAGGCAAACATACTGATCCAAGGTGAAACAGCCCCAGAATGCAGTTCTACGAACTTCCGAGTCCATCTGGGTGCAGCTGTCCTCTCGCACCATGGAGAGCTCGTGGTTGAGGCCGAATTCGAAAGCGAGACGGATGGCGCGACCTAAGTCGAGTCCTCAATACTGAATGTCTGAGCATATTTGCGGTCGTGCGTACCTGAGTCCATCCATCCTCTCACGTCCGAACCCGAGTAAGAAACACAAATTACGCTCAACAGGCCCAGAGCCTGCACAGTGGTCACGCTTGCATCGTTCTGTAGCTCCTCTTCCACCAGAGTGGTGGCTTTCCGGAACAGATAAGGCTCTTCACAACGGTAGCTGTGTGTCTCAACCTCTGCCGGCACCACCAGAGCCCTGATCTCCGGGTAATCTGACACCCTGGCGGCCGAGGCCAATATGGCGTAGAGCAAAGCCTTGCTGTAGTACCGGCAACGACCGGCTTCCATGTCGCTCAAAAAGGCTTGTCGGTTAACCAATTGGATGACTCCATGCTGGTACTTCCAATAATGGTCGAGGAGGTGATTCTGGAGCTTACATGGCAACTCGCGGGCATTATTTTGCGGTACCTCTCCCAGCGTCTCGCTACATGAAAACCAAGAAGATATACTCTCGGCGGTGTGGAGGCTGGAAGAGGGCCCGTAGAAATGCAGCCGACCTGCTCGGTCTGTACTGATCCGTGGCTCAGACCGGCAAAGCCTGCCAATTAGATTGGTAGAAGACCTCCTGGACTGGATGCCTCCTCGAGAAGAGTTGAGGGATTCATGGCGCGTGGAGTCCGACAGCTGGGATGATACATCGGTGGGCTCGCCTGCTGGTTCGCTGCTTGGAGGGACGTCTAAGCCGTGCTTGCGCAGCTCCGCTTCCAGCTGCAGGACGCGGCGTTCCAGCTTCGTGGTGTAATTCCGGGTTGAATTACTACATGTCGGGCTCTTTGCTTAGCGAAAGCGGTCCGTGAAGCCAAAGGAAAGCTCTGATGGTGGGAAGGGGCGCCGGGTCAAGGCACAACATACAATTTCCTTCCATCCTCCTCCGGCACGGAACAGGACAACCCCAGTTTCACGCAACGGGTACAAGGGCTTCGGCTGTCTCTTTGACACTACTCGTAACCCCATTCCAGATATTTAGTCCAGGACAATGGCGACAATGCGAGACTGGTGCCCTACCTTGACCTTCTTCTGCCTGCAGGCGTTGCAGGCCAGGAACATATCTTGATCGGAGGTTGGGCACCTCCTCTTGCGTCGTGCCGTCTTGAAGGTCTCTTTGGTCGAACCATTGAAGATGCCATCGTCGGCGAGGAGCGAGGCGGGCAAATTGAAATTGAAGTCGGACCAGACTCTATCCATGCTTTGGGTAAGCAAGGAATTTGGGGAAGCTGTTCGTGGCAGATTCTCACTCAACAAAGGACGACTCATGAACGATGCGAGCAAAGACGACAGACAGAACAAAGAAGGAGTAAGGTCACAGGCTCGACGATCATATCGCGTACGAATTTCGGGGCTCGGGAAGGGCGGAGAAACTCCCCGCACCCCGCGTTAAGTTGTGCGCACCGATTTCTCGACCTTGGAGTCGCGATTCGTGGAGCCTCGAAGCGAGTCGATGACATTTTCTCAGTCCAAAGTACCGGGGACCCCGGACCGAGCGCCGCTTCGGAGGTGCAATTCTCCATTTGGCCACACAAACAGGGACATTCTATGTCAGTGGTCAGTGACCATGGGCTTATCGACGAATCAGCTGTGGCTCAATTTGGCCGTGACTCTGGTGACCGTCGTCTCGACTTGAGATTCTCCCAGACTTGTTTGCCGATGCCCTTTGGCACCATGGTCGATCGTGCTGACTTTGCCTGGTCATCTAATGAAGTTTTCACTCCCCAGCAAGATCCGACTAAGGAAACAGGATCGCCTCGAACACTCCCCTTGGAAGTGAAGGGATCAAATTTGTGGCGTTCAAGTGGGTTTTTCCACCTTCAAACAAGCTTACAGAAAAAGCCATGTTCGCGGAGGAAGGAGCCTTTTCCGAGAGTCGGGATAGAAACGAGCAAGCATTGATTGCGGAGATGTCTTCCCCGAGAGTGAATATCTGGAGCACGCACATCAATGGATCTGCGAGCCCTGGACCGACGTGAAACTCTGGATAACTGAGGGAATCAGTGGGGCAAGCTATTCCAGACAAGGTAAATACTCACAGGCAATGGCTGGCTGACGACACACCTCTTCACCCGGACATCGATGACCCAGTATAACTTGACCTTAGATAACGCCTGAGAACGCCCGTTCACTGCAAGCTTGCAGAGATATCTACACGGGGAATAATCGCCGAACAGTCTCTGGGAGAAGGGGATGAATTACCGACACGGCGGCTGAGTTGCTGTCTCTTTTGACGCTCTATTAGGAGAGCATGCAGAGAAATGGAGAAACGCCAACAGAGCACACGAATTGTAACGTCTCGATAATTGCGTTCCCTTTATAGTTCGTGAGGACTTGCTTTTGACCCCGTAGTTCACTTGGTCAGTCTTACCAGCACAACATGAGTAATGTCGCTCAGCGAATGGTTTCAAGTGGATATGCTCTTGATTTGATGTCATAGCAGAGGCTTGAAGACAGGCGGTCAGAGCGTTTACTGGAAATTGGTTATATTCCTGCCCAAAGGGTAAATTGAGTGCTTTAATTCTACGGAGGCTTCTTCCTTCCATTAATTTATGCAGAAAGTATGTAGCGAGGAAAAACAGATATGTCGGGAAGAACAGGAGCGCAGTAGATGTGCCTGAGCGAATATTGCCGAATAAATCTGCCGCGCAGAGAGGGTTTAATATAAGTCAAAATGGTAATTATCCAGCTATGTAACAGAAATATCCATAGAGTATTTGGGTAATCTAATTTTGTAGCATCGGCTCTCAAGAGGATATTACTATGTCGGGGGGGAGCTGGAAGCGTGACGGAGGAACCGAAGACCATACCAATAGTAACAAGACGACCAGGATTGCCAGCTGCAATGGGATACTTTAATCACGTTCTGCAGTGCCCCTTTTTCCTTTGGTTAATCAGCTTCGCCGGTGTTCAATCGAACAGGAATTCCTGACGACGTTGGTTTCTCAAGATGTTCAGCGACGTTCTCGGGTTTTGCGGCTGGTTGGAGGTCGTCAACAACCTCATCCACAATCTGGCCAGACTCCGTGAGATGCAGAGCACCTTGATGGATCTTCTCCTTCTCCTCTTCGCTGATACCGTACCAATGTGCAACGATATGCTTGTCCCCGAAAAGCGACCCGACTTCCTCGAGCGTCCGACCTTTGGTCTCAGGGAAGAGGAAATAAATAACGAAGATGTAGACGAAAGTGGGGCAAATGAGGACGAGGTAGACTGCTCGGTGGTTAGCCTGTTGTTTTGCGGAGCGAGGGGGACGTAAAGGGGGGTTTGGTGTGGCAAACATTTCCAAGTGATTGCGTTCAAGGCCACGGGAGCGGCGACCAGCGTGATCTCACTGGCCAAGAAGAAAGTCGCCAACCCCAGTGCAGTACCCTGAGACCGGAGGTGGTTTGGCCAAATTTCAGACACGTAGACGAATTGCGTAGCATCCTGTCATCTCCTGTCAGCACATTGTTCACAACTACGTTCGTGAGGGCGAGGGCGGCATCAAGGTCAGTCTTACCACGCAACAGGCCCAAAAGGTGATGAACAGCCACACAAAGAATACACACGCGTGCAGGCCGGCCTTGTTGTTTGTGCCAAGGTAAGTTGCCGTGAGTGCCGCCTCGAATATCAGACTGGTGAGACAGCCCATAGTACCAATCAGCAATAGTCGCCGGCGCCCAAAGCGATCGACAATGAATACGGTGACAGTATTGCCGACGATGGCATACGTGGTCCAGCACGCGTTGAGGAGCAGCGGTATCTTGCCACTCAGTCCGAGCGAGCCGTAGATCAGCACGCCGTAGTTGGCCAAGACGTAGACACCCTGCATTTGATCGAAGAACATGAGCAACACGGAGACCAGGGCACGATATCGATTGGCCTTGGTACGTAGAATTTCGAAGCTTCGGTTCAAAGAGAGTTGTTTGTCGGCCTTGTGCTGCTTCTCCATCAGGTAGAACTCCTCCTTGGCTTTGATGTGGTCAGGGTCGCCCGCCTGGGCGTGGATACGTTTCAGAACGTTGAACGATGCCTCGTCTTGGTCGTGACTCAACAGCCAACGGGGGGATTCGGGGATGAATTTGATGCCGGCAAGGACAATCAAAGCGGGAACGCATTGAAACGCCAAGGGGAAACGCCTATCCTATACCATTAGCCAAACAGGCAAACCCAGGTGAAAAGAATGCGGTTATTGGCCAGAAAAGAAAAAAGAAATCATGAGCCTTACCAGGCGGCAGAAGCATGGCGCGAGGTGCCCGGTATGTAGGAACAGCCGTATCCAATCCATCCGGCAAAGGTATAACCGCAAGCCCACATGACGCCCGTGATGGACATCATGGCACCGCGAGTCTCGGCCGTGGCGATTTCCCCTTGGTACATGGGCGTGACGATGGCCATGATGCCCGAGCCAACTCCGGCCACAACGCGGCCGATGGCAAACATGGAGATGGCAACGGAGCCCGCATTCAAGGCGCCACCAAGGATGATGAAAACACACCCGATCATCATGGTAGGCTTGCGGCCATACTTGTCGGCGGTCCAGGCACTGAGGATGCATCCCAAGAAAGCACCGCCACTGTTCGCACCGTTCAGTCCGCCGAGGACGTTGGTGGTATGTGCATAGCCAGGCTCGCCCTGGGGCGGCAAATTGAAGTATGCGTAGACTGTATTTGTTCAAACTTCGATCATATGGAATATCCGCCGTGTCACTTACAGTTCGGTTGGCCAGAGGTTGAACCAATGATGGAAAGTCCATACGCGGTCGACAGCGTACCAAGCGCCACAAAAACCACGAGCAGAATATTGAAGAGGTTAAACTTCATCTTGAAGTCGAAGTCCGGTGTTTGGTGATTTCAAAGCAATCAAAGCAGTGTGTTATGACATGGCTTCATAGAAAGTGAACCAGGATGCAGGCCGTATGTTCATGGTCGGGGGATTTGGGTGCTTGTATTTGTCTTTTCTCCCGGCCTCCCCCCCTCCCTCCTGGCCACCGATACCCCAGATATTGTCGAAAGAGCGGGAGACTATGCTCGCCTGCCGGGATTCTGGAACATGGAATTTAATCCCCGAAATACCTCTGACAGGCTCATATCGATTCACCTTGCTTTCCGTGTCGAAAGGGGGCACGCCGCCCCCGGAGTTGCTGTTCTCCAGGTCCCATTCGGGAAGATCCTAAGGGGCTAGCCTGCGTCCTCATCGGGCGGGCTATGGACGTTGCCAGAGTCATCAACACGACGCAACTCAGCTCAGTCAAAGCCCGAATTCTGGAGAACAGAGTCCGCATCGTCGTCGATCAAAGTATCTGGTTCGAAGTCAAAGCAAATCTCTCGTAGTACGAGGTAGATTTACTCCTTATGATGACAATGGGGCGGTGACGTCATGTCACAAGGTCGGTAAGGTTCGACAAATCGAAGAGCTGAGACTCGGAAGTAGCCCCTGCTCGGCGTAACCGGCTTCGCTCTTTACCCCAGGTTTCAAATGCTGCAGCCGAGCTCGACTACCCCGCTTCGCTATAGCTGGTGCCACTCTCCACGACATGTGTCTCCTTCGAGAGTTGGTCAATTGGCCGGAGTTGCAAAGCACCGACGACTAACGGAGATTGAGCGCCGAAATGAATGGCGCTAGGAGCATAGATAGGTAGGCGTCTATATTAACGGCGGCACTTATAGCAAGAGAGTCTGGTATCCTCAAGCTTCAACCGAACAACACTGATCCTAATTTACAAGAGTACAGCCTTTGGTGGATTATCTCCAGCGCTGAAAGGTGCAACCATGCTCGCACACAGCTTTCCCATGTCCTTCGTGGATGCTGTCCCAATCATTGGGGTGACAGCGGCAATTATCTTGTGCTATCGGCTCATCTACAACCTCTTCTTCCACCCGTTGGCCAAGTACCATGGCCCTTGGTATGCAGGTGCATCTTCTCTTCCGATCGCCATCATATCCGTCCTGAAAGTCGAGCCACAATGGCTTATGGGCGTAGTGAAGATATACGGCAGTACGTCTGACCATTTTCACTGGCACGAGATGTATGCTGACCGACTACATCAATTTAGCCAAGGAGCCGATCCGCATCTCTCCGTCAGTGTTATTGTTTCCACAACCTTCTGCTCTCAAAGATATCTACTGGGATCCCAAATGTAACCGCAAGATGTCCCTGTACGGAACGGGTGCAATGGGACCCCCTCATCTGTTTACCACCCTTGATGGCGAAGAACACAAGAATTTGAGAAAGGCTCTCGGTGGGCAGCAAGTATGTTTCATCTAACTCCACATCTTCGACACTGGATGACTGACTGAATGCCTCATTGACTAGTGGACGATCGGGTTCCTCAAAAATAAATGGGAACCTCGCCTCGACGATCTGGTCTCTCTATTCATCAGCAAGATGTCGGAAAAGGCTCAAACTAAAGAGAAAGTCTTAATGTCTGAAAGAGTGGCGTAAGTCACGTACGTGGATGTCATTTGAAGAGAGATGGCTGAATTTCAACAAGTGAATTTGCAGCCGATGTCATGACTATGCTTTCTTTCAGCGAGCCCTGGGGGTTTGTCAAGAACAGTCGTGACGAGCGAGGCATCCTCAGCAGCTGGCGTCGAGGACTTCCTCTGTTTGGGTTCGCCGGACGCTCGACTACCTTTCGAAAGATCCTGTCCATTCCTGGTGTAGGTGAACGCTTCCTTCCCAAGGAGACTGACGAAAATGGGTTCGGCTACTTGATGAACTGGGCCGACAAGCAAGTCAGTCATCGTGAGAAGGAGGTAGAAGATGGATTGGTGATGAAGCAACCAGATTACCTTCAATAGTGAGTCCAGGCGATATCGAGAATGCCGTGGCCCGATTGCTGATCATCACATAATAGCTGTCTCGATGCCCGCCGGGATGGAAAGCCCCTCACCGCCGTAGAGAAACGCGCTCATGTCACACTACTCATTCAAGCCGGGGCTGATACCACGGGGACCGCTCTCGGAGCCACTCTACGATTTATGACTCTGAATCCCGAGACGAAGCAACGTGCTTGGGAGGAAATTCTTGTCGCAGAGAAGGAAGGCAAGCTCTCTACTCCGATCCAATATGAAGAGACGCGGGAGTATCTTCCCTACTTCTGCGCCTGCATCAAAGAAGCTATCAGACTGTGTCCTCCTGCCGACAATCTCTTCGGCCGTGTGGTAGGAGAAGGCGGCAAGGTGATCGAAGGTCAATTCCTTCCTCCTGGCACGGAGATTACTAGCAACGCATACGTCGTTCAGAGAGATCCCGACCTCTATCCTGATCCAGAGGCTTTCCGTCCTGAGAGATGGCTGGAAAGCAAGGAAAAGGCAGCAGAACTCGAGCTTCACCAATTCGTGTTCGGCATTGGCCCTCGCATTTGTCTAGGAAAGGACGTGGCCATTATTGAGCTACATAAGCTCCTCCCCGAGGTATGTTACATCTGTGTTTTTCTTCTCTGCAACATGAGGACAAAACGAAACCCTATCATGGAAGATAATTGTACCCCATTTGACCCCAGTCTCTTTAGATCATTCGGCGGTTCGACCTGGAGCTTGTGACAGCCGGAAAATATGTCGTAGCTGGAGGTGTTGCGTACTTCGAAAACTTCAACGTGAAACTCATCTCAAGGGAGGATGCTTTGCAATAAATTCTATAGTTCAGAGATACACTGAAATTGTATGTGGTATTGCCCTCCCCTGACACGATTTGGCCGATATTGGTGACTTCTTTCTGAACTACCTCGCTCAAGGTACTCCATGAGAGTCCTCTGAAGAGAAGGGGCGAACAGGAATTGACAACAAGTAGACAAGATGTCATTTGGAGCCATCTCCCATTTCTGATCTTGATTATGCTTCCTCCTGCCTGTTTGGGACATTGTATGGTCAGGAACTGATTGCAATGCTGAGCCATTCCCTGACCAATTTTGGAGAAACATACCCTACCCTATCAGTAATGCCATAGACAATTCACGGTAAATCGTTTAAAGCGTCTAGTTAGGTAGCGGACTGGAGACCTACCTCAACCGTAAATCGTTTAATATTCCTACCGATCTCGCCGGGTAACTACTCAAGAGCTCGCTAGGCTTAGTGACACGAGGCGGTTACCGCCACTAGTGCGAGGGTTCATGACGTTACTTTGAAAGCCGTGGTGTCATTCAACCTGGGGAAGGAAACCCGCAAGAACAAAATCTGGCAACTAGAAGACAAGTTTGCGCCCGTTCAAAGGGAAACGGTTACTGTATATAATGAGACCAAGAGATCAAGAGACCAAGACAAACACGACATGAAAGTGCATATGATATGATTGACCTTTGTTTTTGATTGATTTCAACCGCAGCAACGATTGAAGACAACAATCTCTTTCTCGGCCATAGAAAAGCCGGAGGGTGGTCTAGATGGTGTCGCGCATTCATCAGGCTGACGCCCCAGACTTTATCATTTCAGTTGTTTGGATGACTTGTTTTTCTGCTGCTTCGTGGCTAATGCTGGAAAGCTGCACCTGGACCTTTTCCCCAAAGACCGAATTGACCTCTTCTAATGTTAGGCCTTTGGTCTATTGCATCGTCAGTCATGCCGTTCAACAAAGCTCACAAGGGGAAGAAGGCACTTACCTCAGGAAAGTAAAAGAAGACGATGGGGAAGAAAACGAGGTTACATCCGATGAAAACGAAATTAAACTTCCAGCTGATTGCTTCCAAGGCCATTGGCGCGGTCTGAGTGAATATAATGGTGATTGCGTTGGAGCTGAAGAGTCCCATGGCAAACCCGGTCGCCCTATTCTTGGTGGCTAAGACTTCTGCGGCATATGCATAAGGTGTTCCGGAGATGGACCCAAAGAAGAAGATGAAGATCATGACCATTGCCACCCCTCCCTTACCATAGCCTGTGGAAGGTTAGCAATGTCGAGCATCAAAAGACAGAGGGAGAAGGTACTTGAACGACCAGTGGATTCATATTTGGCAGAACAGGCTGCAAATATCCCGAGACATATTGACAGGACAATGAAGCTGCCCAGAAAGAGTCTTCTTCGACCAGCTCGATCGACCAAGAACAAGCCCAGAAGACAGCCTACGGTCAAGATGATTTGGAAAACACCGGCCATCAGCAACGTTTGTCCAACGGAAAAGCCCAAGTTTGAGTAAAGCACCGACTGGGGGAAAAATCAGCATCATGTAAGTAACCTTGTTGATAATCGGTCGAGCTTACCTGATATACTTGGATAGTCTGCGCGCCGTTTGTTTGCAGGCAGGTAAGTGCCGCAACCGCGACCAAAGTTCGCTTCAATTCTTTCTTGTTGGTGAGCATATGAACCCAAGAGCTTGTGGCTTTCTCTCTGGCCTCTTCAGCCAGCTGCGCGGATATTTGCAGGTACTCCTTTTCCCAGAAGAGCGGGTCTTCGTGGTCATCATGTAATCTTTTCAGAACCGCCTGGGCTTCTGCATGACGGTCTCGTGAGATGACTTGATTGTGGGTAATAATGCTCTGGTCAGCTTCAACGACCCCATTTTTGTTGCTCGACAATATGCAAGCTACAAACACATGGACACACTTACGCCATCGGGGGGAGAAAGGAATGAAAAAGCATCCTATGATGAGAGCTATGGCCGGAAGCATCTGAAGAGCTATAGGGAATCGCCTATGCCTCACTATTAATGAACCATATTTCCAACGAGGAAGTCTGGGGATCGTGATCCATACCAAGAGAAGGTGGCATTGGATGAGAAGTGACATGCGTATCCGACCCACGACGCCAGGGCTCCTGCTGCGGAAAGGACGAGAAGCTGGAACGCGACCATGGCACCTCGTTCCTTGGGCGGTGCAATTTCAGACTGGTACACGTTGACAGTGGTCAACATGATGCCAGACGACGCTCCTGCGATAACCCGGCCGACAAAGAAGACGGCAATGTCTTGAGCGGCGGTCTGCATGATGGCGCCGACGAGACCTATCACGCCGCCGACCTGTATGGATCTTTTCCTACCCAGCCTCTGGGCGATCATGGTGATGAGGACCAGGCCAAGAACGACGCCGCCAAAGTAACTCGATCCGATCGCCCTGATGAGTCGAGACAAAGTCAGCCCAAGCAGCAGAAGAGATGGGAGGAGGGGACAAGGTCAGTGGAACGACATACCCCATTACTGTCGCATTGGGCTTGAAGTAATCTATGAAGCCGGTCTGAGCAAATCTGGGGATCTAGTAAGCCCTTGATCGACATCTTGGGAGGCTTGGTCTAAGATTTACGTCGAAGCGATGATGGCTGCATCATAGCCGTAGAGCATGCTACCGGATCCAGCCACCATGGCACAGCCCCAGTTGTATAGGCGACCCATCCTTGCGTCTAATCTGTTGGGAATGGAAATGATCAACGATGCAGACAGAAACGAGGCTTGGTTGTTTTATTTCCCAAATGATCGACAATTTGAGAAGAAGACGAGGAAGAAGGAAAGCCGCGACATGAACATAGATTTGTCTGAAAACAGAAAAAGAAAGAAAAAGGAAAGAAGAAAACTTGATATTCAGATCCTCCGGCAAAGGATAGCAAAAATGCGATTGTGTATAGGATGGTTCTAGCGGGCTAATCTCAATAGATACCGGACCAATTGACATGCCTCACTGAAGTCAGTCCGTTAACTACTAAGTATTTATTATGAGTAACTCGGTCACCTAGGTAGGTAATAATATCAAAGACTAGGATGTACGCGAATTCGAAAGAATACGTTGTCATCTAGACAGATAATGGGAAAACAAAAAGGGGCAAATCCATTTTGTGATATGTAAAGGTGCTTATGTCGAGCTGGTATAGTTTTCTTGATCCATTCTATATGTACGAGGGATGTATGGCCTTCGTTTCGTCGATCTATCTACCACCACGTTATTCCCCGAAATTTCTTTTCTCCTAACTGCCCAATTCATTACGTGAGAGACAAGTTCTCTGTCAAACATCCGAACATCACAGCCGCCCAAAAAAATCCCGCCCGTGTTCTTCAGGGGAGGGGCTTTACATCATGCAAAAAAGACAGGGGATAGACAGACATCAACTGTTCTGCACCAGGTGTAGGTGCCAATTGGGGATGGGCGAGAGGAAGAAGTTGGAGAATGAAGAGATAAATCGCGGTTGATGATGAGCCAAGCAAATCGCGTGGTCAAGATTGGGTGGGGTGTAATGTACGCGCTCGAGATAATAGTCGCTGGAGTACTCGGTACATAGCCTTGCTTCTATGTTTAAAAGAATGAATCGCCTTGGATTGACTGGGCCGTATGTTGAGCGTGGATAACGGTACGACCTTGGGGGGTCATCACCATTGAGTGTTTGCCTCTCAAGCTGGAGTTATACAGTCAGGACCTTCTCTTCTAGGTACTTACTTCTACATCTCCATATCCATGTTAATATTAGACCTCGTTTTCGAGAGTCTGCCACCGAGGGAAAAAAAGATCCTCCGTCCATTTGCGGACAAACTTGGTCCCTGCAGAGATCGGATCCACTTCGCTTTTGAACCTCGGCACGTGCCCCAGCTACCAGCCACCCACAGCCAGATTCATGCAGACTTACCGAGTACTTGACCAGGATGGGAGAGCAGCAAAACCATTCAATTCAATTCAAATAGTGTTTCACTTCAAAGCCGAGTTTACAATACTCTTGTCACCGACGACCATGATGCTCAAGTATGGAATTGTGATAAAAGCGTGTTTTGTGGCTACCTTACTGGGAGTGGCTCTATTTTAGATAGTTCAAGACTCTCGACAGTGCTTCAACAGCGCTTGGCAATGTTACAGTAGAGGAGATCGGAGCCGGCTCTGGTGCGATGCTGCTCGTCTCGTTTCCCTCATCAGACGTTAAGTTCTCTTTCCCGTCATGCCTTTGCCGACTCTTCTTATCATTGTAATCTACCCATTGTCAGCGAGAAGAACCAATCAAGTTCTGCGACAACCAACCATCGCGGGCCTCGATCGCAGCCATCAAAGAGGAAACCAGGAGCACCAGAGGGATGATCTCGCCAAATCCCATCTCGTTCATGTTTCCAGTGCATCCCTCTGACTCGGCCCTTGCTGAAAAGACGTTGATGATGTCGTAGATTTGCACAAAGGCGAGCCATACTATCCTGAAAGCAAACGATCCACAGAATTCGTGGAACGCAAGTGACTCCTTTAGTAAAATATCTAGAATAATCGCTATGACGTGGTTCCGGGTTGTTGGGATGTTTGCATGCATCCACTCGCCTTGTGCCCGATGGTCCTCCCGCCATGAAGGAACCCGGCCGATCCTAAGGAGTCGGTCCGGATCTTGACGCAGGTGCAGACACGACTACGACGGTACTTCGGAGCTATTGCGGACGCACGACTATTCAACTGTATGTCTCTTTCCCGGTCTCGCTGTCTTGGACTGACCACTTTCCCCAGAACTGCTCTACATTTTGTTGTGGGAGGCATGCCCCTTCCAGAGGCGTCGGTCATGGCCCTTCGGAACCATGTAAATCCATGCAACACCTATTGGGAGGGCTCCATAACCGAATTCTGCTGGGAGATCCCCAAATTGTGGCGAATTCAGATACTGTGCCTGCTCTCGTCGAGCACGAAAACATCTGCATTGAGTTTGGCTGGTCGCCGGTTTCGTGCAGTGCGGATCAGAGTCGTATTGGCTCAACTGCCTCAGTGGCGTCTGTATTGTGTTGGGCTATCTCTAGCTAACAAAGAAGAGAGAGAAGAGAGAGGTGCACTTGGTGCTGTAGAAGGTTGGCAGCCCGTCCCAACAGGGAAGGCAGCGTTACGTTGGTCAAGTGACTAGCACACTGCACCACTCTCTATACACGAAACAATACAAACTGGGAACTCAAGGGACAAATTGTGGTAGCCCTCACGGACTTTTGGCTAGGCTCACGCTACTCAGAACCGCACACCCACAGCTCAGAATGGCACTTAGGTCAACTGGAGAGGTCAGGAGCCGCCGCTGAATATTCTGGTATGGGGCCGCCGCGCTGGAACATAGTGGAAAGCGCGGCTTGAAAAACGGCTCTGCAAGGTACGGCTCCATCATACTACTGGGGGCCAAGATGTCGACGGAGAGCCAGATGCATACGCTATGGAGCCTCGAAGGATATAGACATCCGATGCAAATTAAAAGACCCGCCTTGTCACAAGTGGTGGTCCACTACCAGGTCAAGCAAGCGACGCGTCAAGACGTGATGCAGAAAGACGTCGATCTTCGCCGACATATTGAACAAGGCTTGGGAGAGAGGGTTTTCGGGAGAAAAAAAAGTCCCTCTTCTAAATACTTTCTCACATTAAAGTTTTCTTTTTACAACGGTCCCAGGCTCCCACTATAAGACCCTGATAACAGATTGTTGAGATAGAGACTGAGTTCGTTGTCGCAGTCGTAGTCGAAATTCATCGGGAGCCTCATACCGTCGTCCAGGGTCGGATCATGCGCGGTCGAGGTCATTGGACCAAAATCAACAGCACTCGAATCATCCATCCGTCCACCGCCGACGCCTTCTTTCACCGTGCTCTCGGCGCCGTGGGGTTGGATCGGCTGTTGTTGCCGTGGTTGGAGTCCTGCTCCTGTGACAGAGGAAGCAAAGTTGTCCATGTCCTCTTGATACGGTTCGTCTACCACCCGGGAAGAGTGGACTGAGGAAGAACCCATCATGGTCGGGTTCACGCCAGAGCCCGTCAGATTCGGCTCCGTGAGGGCGCTGGTGTACGAATTCGAAGGCCGGGACTGTGACCCTGAAAGACTCACCGTCGTCGTCGTATCCGACTGCCTGCTGCGGACTTGGTCGAGACCTTGGGCACTTTGGCTGAAAGGTAGTGGTCTCTGGGCAGATTTGGCGGCATCGGAATCCCCTCCTCCTCCACCCCCTTCCCCCGATCGAAGAAGGTGGTCAAACCGATCCTCCAAAGAATCCAGCGTCTGCAACAGCCCGATCGGCGTGCCCCAGAACTTGATGAATTGCTTGTACGTCAGGCGCAGGACGTTGTACCTGGCCTCGGCGAGCTCGCGGTTGCCGCCCGAGGGCCCGAATTTCTTGTTGAGAAGCTGCACCGTCGCGGCGAGCCAGATGGAGGTGGCCAAGAAAGGGTTCACGTAGCGGACGTGCGTGCTGCTGCACCGATTGAGCAGGAGGACGATTCGGTCGGAAGCTTCTACGTATTGCTGGAGCCCGTTCGCGTTGGGCTTTTGCGTTACGCACATCAGCAGCGTACCAGGATGGCGGTTCGCCTCGGAGATGTCCCTGTCCGAGCCACGTCTTGATGAGAGATGAGGCTTGACGACGCCCGTACAGAATGTGTAATAGTGCGCGATCATGAACCTCGTCAGCTCCGTCAGAACGTATATGCTGTATTTGGCCTGATGCAGCATGCTACTGACAGGCAACTGATTGGGTTCGACAGACGTAAAGGCGAGCGGCTCGCCGTGATATTGCAAAGCGTCCGGAAGAGCCAGGAGAGTACACTGGAGCGCATGTGAGATTATGGAGAGCTGGTCTTCCACCGTGGTGTTATGTGTCCTCTTGTCGTCCTGTCCTTGGGTTGGAGCGGGCCGAGGCTGCTGCTGCTCAGGCTCACAATATGTCGTCGTCCCCAGCGCCCTTCCCAGATACGACGTCGTCTGTGCATCTCGAGTGAGCGAAATCACAACTAGATTCCAAGCTACGGGGCTTTCGTTGCCGCTCCGTTGGAGAAGTTTCCATCGGTCTGCGGGCTTGGCCGCTAAGAAACAGCTGGCATGGAATTTCTGCTGGAACCACAGTCGATCTTCAACTGGCAAAAACACTTTGCTTTGCGACCAGTTCAGGCCCGTTGGGACGCCCCTGACCGTGCTTGCGAAAGTGTCCATCTCCCACACGGCCCACCAGCAGCGTCTGCGCTCCTCTTCTTCGCTCCAGGCGAGGATATCGTCGGCCGTCGAAGGGACATGGTCGTGCTGCTTATCTGCATCGAGTCTGTGCAGATCCAACTCGTGCGCCACACGGATACAAGTCCCAAGCCACCTCCAAGCGCGGCCATGCACTCCCTTGGTCAATTGGAAGAAAGTCGTCAAGATGATGGCTTGCAAGAATTCTAGTGGGGGAGTGTTGTCTGAACACTGTGTCAATGATTCTTCTTCGAAACGCAGGGCCACTTGATGAAAGTGGTCGGCGCAAGGAATCTCGCTGGGCATCTCATCGAAAGGGTTGCCCGGCATGTGGTCTGAGGCTTCGTTGAGGAAGCGAGCAGAGAATGAGCACATGGACGCTAGAAGCGCATGTAAGTAGAGCGATGGCCCCATCGATCTCAGCTTCTGCGTAAAGGTGGGCCTATGGAATAATGAAAAGGCGGTCATGTTGGAGAAGTAGGCATCGATCCTTTTAAGAGAGAGCATGTCAGCCCGCGCGCGCGGGAACATAGCATTCGCGACGAGCACTCTGGTTTACTCACAATCTTCCAAGTACAGCGGGAGAGATGTTCAACGCATGAGACGTGTGCGATATAGCATCGGATTCGTCCATGGAGCAACTGATCAAGGCCTCGCCGAATGGCCCCTCATTAGGCGCCTGGCCCCATTTCGCTGGAGGCTCAACGAAACCAGAAGCGCCTAGCTGGGGAGCCATATTAGGCACGTCATGACAGTGGGTTGACAGATCTTGTCGGTTAACGGCGGTTGTCGTGATTGTCGTCCCGGGCGAGGGCATCTGAAGGGGTCGCGCAAATGTCTGGGTAGGCGTGAATAAGCTCGCTGGGTGACTTCTCCCAGATGTCGAGGTTTCGTCTTCATTGGCCATCGACACACTGTGCCATTCGGTGGCCGCCATTTCATGATGGCTTGTCTGCTGCTTGCATTCCTCGCTCCGAAATCGTTTCTTCTTGGACAATCGTGGTTTCTTCTGGGTCGAGCCTGAAAAAGAAAACAATTGATAGGGTACTCTGATCAGCAGTGTGTCGCAACAAAACATACAAAAATGCAAGAATTTTAATAGTACCCTTCTTCGGCCCAGGACGTAGTCTCTCCAGCGGATAGGTGCAGGTCTGAGAGCTTTTCAGACAGAGGCTGCACGATGGTATTTTACGATCGCTGTGACAAGTCAGCGCGCTGCGACGAGAGCGCTCTCTCTTCTATCAGTCATAGCTTCGCTCACCATTTGGCTTTGCGTCTACCACCAAGTCGTTAGCAAGGACATAGTTCAGTTTTCATCCAAGGGAGAAAAAAAAAACAAGGTGAAGCGACCGCACGCTACGTACCGTCGGCATGGTTCGCAAGAAACATCAGGCATGGTCAATGGCATCGTATTGTTGTTCGAGGCTCATCTACTGTACCATGTTCAAGAGTGAGGACCACAAAAGAAAGATTGAGAATATGATTAGAGGGTGGAAAAAATGGAGATTTTCAGTTGATTCGGTCCTCTCGCCTTGCTGTTCCCGACCAGCTGAAGGCAAAAAGTCGCCCTGTGGGGCCCCGCGCAAAAGTTTGGGGAGGGGAAAGAAAGCGATCTTTACCCGAATAGGCAAGTCGGACTCACTGAGGTTACCCCGTAGTTCCTGTACTCCACGTACAGTATTGCGGATTAATAACGGAGTAACTTTGATAAGCACAATCTATGCCAACGATCTGACTACCTAGGTACCTAGCTATGTCCGGCATCGCCTCCACATCCTCCATATCCTCTACTCCATCTCGCCAATGTTGGCCTCGACGTCAGGACCCATCCGGGTCCTCCCAAGATTCACTCTCGAGCCACGGATTACTGTACACATGACACTTGGAAGTATGGACAAATTCGAGGAGCCCACAATCCAAACTCAATATCAGCCTTGCGCCCACCCAATCAGGTCTGTCTCAATCTCTCTCTCTCTCCCCCTCTTTCAGCCCTAGCCGCCTACTTTCTGCACGCTAATGCTCTCCGTGTCGACTTTGCTGTTCAGATCTTCGACCTCTTCAGTCGGTGCCTTGTCCATTTGGTCTGCCTCCATCAGCCCATGGCCGTCTTTGGTCAGGTGGACAATGACGGTATCTCCGAAGATCGCTCCAACCTCTTCCAGGGAGAGGCCGGTGGTCTCGGGGATGTAGAAGTAGACAATCACCACAGACACGACGTCGCAAGCCACCCAGACCAAATAGTATTTCCATCCGATGTTCTTAAAGGCCGTCGCCGCCGGAGTGGTGTAGGTGATGGCGCCGATAAAGTAGGTGAAGAAGGTGAGTCCCAGCCCCTTGGCTCTGAGAGTCGTGGGATAGATCTCGGCGCACCACACAAACTGTGTTGGATCCAAGAAGAATCCGTAGCATACCCCGAAGAGGAAGATGAAGAACAATGCGGCACTGAGCCCCGGCTTGTCCTGCGTCCCGACGTACTGCCTTTGCAGCAGAGCCTCTGCCAAAAGACAAGCTCCAGTCGTAGGGATCCCGATCACTGCAGCCCCGAAGTCAGCTCTTAGAACTCCCATCGCAAGAGGAATCGCATCGACTCACAAAACATTTTTCGCCGACCCATCCTGTCGACTGCAAGACTATTTGCCCAATTTGCCGATGCCGCAACCACAATGTATACAGCATACATGAGCAGGGGCATAGAACCTGACAGGTCCAAGCTTTGGCAAATGAGAACCACGTAGTTGGTGATGCCGAGAATACCGGCCGACTGCATGGCGAATATAAGGAAGATTGTCAAGACGGCTCGCTTTCGCCAGGACGGGTGTCGAAACATGTCCAAATATCCCGCCTTGGTGTGCTTGTCGAACTCGACCTGTCTCGTGATCTGGATGTATTCGGCGCGCGCAGCTGTGTCACCGGGATCGGTTGGATCGTGATGGATCCTTCGAATAACGTCCCATGCCTCGTCTGTGCGACCTTTCAAGCTCAGATACCGGGGTGACTCTGGCAGCCACCAGACACCTGCAAGCATGAAGAGTGGCGAGACACAGCAAAGCGCAAGGGGAAGTCTCCATTGCACTGTCAGGGACTTTGCAAAGTAACACGCATAGCCGATCCACGCAGACCTGGAAGACATGTGTCAGGATCAAACAAGCGCACACCGAGCAAAAGGGATTGGGCGACTTTGAAGCTTACGTGAAATAACCACCGGCGAACCCCCCTGCTGTGAAGGCCGTGAGAGCTCCTCGACGATGTGGCGGAGCCACTTCCGAGATGTATAAGGGAACCAGCGCGAGCAACATCCCCAGTCCGAAACCTTGTAGGAAACGACATGTCACCAACATGGGGACATTCACACTGCCGGCGACCAATGCTGAGCCGATCAGGGAGCTGATGGCGGAGACAATCAGGCTGTTTTTCCGTCCAACCCAGTCGGCGAGCCATCCTTGGAAAATGGCGCCAAAGGCGGCACCTGCGGCAAATAGGGAGCTGACGGCTCCTATGATGCTGGCAGTGTACGAGCTCGTAGCTGTTGGGCGTTTGTCAGTGTGCGTGTCGCCTGTTAAGCTCTGTAGACAGCAAGAAAAACTCACGTTCAAGGTCAAAGTACAAGTAGAAGCCGGGCACCCCAATGGAAGTAGCGAAGATGGCGTAACAAAACCCATAGGTATAAGAGCCCAGGGCAACAAAGGCCACGATGAGCTTATTGAAGAGTGTTAGTTTGACCATGGTGAGAGCGAGAGATACCGAGATGTCTCTCTTGTCGCTGTTTTTTTCCGTTCAAAGTTATGTTTTTGGAGGTATGGTTCGTTGGGGGTCTCATGATAGTTCTATTTGTATCATGGCTGGCTCTAGCCACCATCACTAAACCCATCTTGTTTCTTCGTCTCTTTTCAGCCTGCGGTGCAATTTCCAGGGGGTGTGAAAATGCTCTGCGGGCTGATTTGGAGCCTGTGGGCTCCAAGCTGAGTTACGGGGTGATGCTAGAGCGATCAATTAGTGCAAGATCGGCAGTGTCGATGCCGAGATGCTTGGACCTATCATTCTCTCTACCAACCGAAATACCCCGTGGGGGAGCCGCAAAACATTTGGAACCACTCCGCCCAATGCGGATTGCGGGATTGCGCACCGAGAGAATCGAGGATAGCGACACCGGGCTAGTCTTCGTTCGCAAGCACCAAAAACGCTCAGAATTCCTCCGTTATCAAAGCGCGCTAAAGTTCCATTTTGGCCCGATGACAACATCGCAATTTTACGCCAGTGGAGGAGTTCTTCCTGGTCATGTCAAGAGAGGAAGAAGAGCCGTCTGAGGATTCTCGTCTCTCCTGGCAGCATCCCCAGCAGGGCATTCTACACGCAATGTCTGTGGTCCTCGACGAGCGAATAGGGTTGGGCACAGACAAGAGAAAACTTCCAAAAAGGCGATGAACAAAACCTCGTAAAATTACTCCGTCGTAGTTTGTTGCTCCCGAAGCAACACAGCAACAAAAGATAATCTGATAAGCTTGTATTGAAGCCCTGAAAGGGGCACTATGGGTAGAATTGCGATATCTAAGATGCATGATACTGCTGGCCGCCTCACTCATACGGAGCAAGGAATTTCCTGGCGCTGGCGAGCTCCCGCGTGATAACGTCAATGTGTGCCTGACTTCTTGGTTTAAATACACACTTGAACGGAGCTGGACCATGTAGTAGACCTTCGATATAGTTGTCGGGGTCCAGCTTGACCGGTTTCCCCGTGGCCGGGTCCAAACCGGGAAGGATATCAAAAGCCCAGAGTAGTTTGGCTGCGATTCTCCATTGCGTACGCTCTGCCAAATGGATACCGGGGCACATACGACGTCCACTGCCGTAGCCATAATGATGTACGATGAGTTAGCTTGTAGCCATCTACTTAGGATGAAGGGGGAATGCTTATCTCGGTTATTGTAGTCGGCGCCACCGGCATAGTCGTTGGCAAGCTTCGGATGGTTGATGTATCTCTCAGGCTTGAATCTATAAGGGTCGTCATAGCCAAACCGCTCCGCATGGTGCAGAGCCCATGTAGGAATGAATATAGTCGAGTCTTTGGGAATCAACATTCCTTCGTAGTAGTCATCTTCGGCCACGCGGTGGGGAATGCCTACAGGCGCCCTAGAAGAAAACATTAACAATATCTCCAAATACTGTGAGTGGCGACATACGCAGGACGCCATCTCATTCCTTCCTTGATGATGCAGTTTATGTATGGAAGACGATTGAAATCTGACCACTGGGGCATCCTGTGGCGGTGTGATTAGCACAGTAGATCTTGAGGGAAGAGAGAGCGAAGTCTACCGTTCTGTACCACACACAGCGTCCAGCTCCCTCTGAGCTTTTGCCTGGACGTGAGGGTTCATGGCGAGGCAGAGAACAAGGGTCAGCATCGTGGAAGAAGTCGTTTCAGCGCCACCCTCGACAAGCAAGCCGAAAAAGTGGTCAAGCTCTTGCTTGCTCAAGGGGGAGCCCTTTTCTGTGTACTCATCCAAGAGCTTGTCGGCGAGGGAGCCAAGGGAGGTCCGAATGTCTCCCCGTTTCCTTCGTTCGTCGACTCTTCTGCGCGCCTCGCTCCAGATATTGTGCATCACAGTCCCGGCGTATTTAGCTCGGGTTTTCCAGGGACACAGGAACTCGGGCAGATACTTGAGCACGGGGAACTCGTCCACTGGCGGATTTGCTCCAGGCTCCAGGCTTCTCCGAACTAGACACACTGTCAAAAACATGGATACCGTGCAGTGGTGCTGCTGGTCAACAATACCTTGTCCAATGCATCGTAAACACACTAGATATGTCGGTCAGTACTTTTCACAAAACCATATCGAGTGAGCACTTGTCTTACATGACCCCAGAAGTCCTCATACGACAGGGCTCGGTGACCGAATACCAGAATGCAAGCGATAGACGAGGTCAAGCGTTTCATGTGGTTATAGAAGTCCTCGGGCTTCTGGATGAGATCATTCAACAAGACCGTCACCCTGTCGAGGGGTTAGCTGCCGTACACTCAAAGCTAACAAGGAACGAAAGGCTCGGAGACACCCGCCGTCAGCTATCAGAAACCAGGACTCACTCGGCATCTTGAACGGGGGCGACTCTCTCGTCCAGTACTTTTGGCTAACACGACACGTTAGTTGTCTTTCCAAGTACGGTTTGAATAGGAGGGAGCCTTACAGAGAAATTGTGGGTGGCAATCTTGCGTTTGGCTTTCTGTCTTTCATGGTGGTCTTGAAACACAAGGCTGTCTCCGTGGGTAACCAGATCATTCACGAAGCTGTGAGGTCTCTCTGCGTAGAGCAAACCCTTTTTGTCTACCAGATCATGAACTGCCTTGCGGTCATAGAGGACGATGACATTGGAGGAAGCGAACTTGAGGGAATAGATTCCGCCGAACTCCTCGCCCCATTCCTTGAATCTGAAAGAAACCCGTTAGTTTGGCAGGTTATACACGAATCTCTTAAATTCAACTTCGACTGACTTGCCTTTTGTACATTCCAGTGATGGGTATCTGGTGAAGATTTCCCAACAAGGGTAGTGTAGGAGGCCCTGGAGGCATGCGTTTGTCTCTTCGCCCGATTTGAAGGATCCGGTAAATTCCATAGGCAACAATCGCAACGACGCATATGTACCAAGCGGTCGTCCCCTGGAAGCTCTTAGGCATCAAGTGCCAGTCCATTCTGCCGGCCTCTACCGCCATTGTCGAGTCTGAACTCCCGTGGTCAAAGGTGTAGCGTAGCGGTGATGTCGGCAAGCTTGTACCGTCGTAAACAGACTCTATGCAAAGGCTGAATCGAGAATGGGAATATGTCTCTGGGACTTTTTCTAGCTTACAGGTCTGTCTGGGGAAACTACGTTGGCTGTGGCGGTATATCTAGATATTGATCTTTTCCTACGTAACTCATGGGTCGATTTGCTCAGGAGCTGTGCGATCTTCCTCCCGTAAACGGCCCGAATTCGTCGATTCCCCCATGATGTTTGGCCCAGTGTCTCTAACCCACAAATCCAGATACTCGGCCCGGAGATCGCATTCTCAAGGCTGGCGGCACAATTTCATACTCCTCGAGACTTTTGGCCAAGACGACAGATCAGTTCTTTTATCTGACCCCTCCCCTGGCGCGGGGTGGTGTCCTGAGAGCAGCCATTTCGGTGCCTGCCACACTCTTGTTCCAAAAAGAACCATTCGCTCCGTAAGTGGAAGAACAATCTACATCGAAATATGTAACTATTGGTAACAAAAAGACACCTTTATCGCTGACCTGTGTTTATCGTCTACACCGAGGTGGACCCATAGAAAAATGTCGAGCTCAAAGTTCACCATGGAGTATTCTCGGTAAGCACAGTATTGGTCTGTTTGTACAATGGTTGCTAAGCTTACACTCATTATCAAGGGTGGGCCGCGCCGGACTAAAGGTGTCCAAGATCATTCTGGGAGGCATGTCCTTTGGAAGCAGTGAATGGCAGGACTGGGTCCTTGACGAGAAGTCCTCTCTTCCCATCATCGAACATGCCTACAAAGCGGGCATAAACACATGGGACACTGTAAGTCTTTGCATTCTATCTACACGATACATGGTCCCTGGTCTCATACAAGAACCAGGCAGATATCTATTCCCATGGAGAAAGCGAAAGGATCCTGGGACAGGCAATCAAAAAGCTCAAAATTCCTCGCGAGAATATAGTGATTATGACAAAGGCGTATTTTGCCCTGAGTCAAGACGGTCACCAGATCCCTTTGACCGAGTGCATGGTGAACGACGGGCATCTAACAAATCGAGTTGGATTGAGTCGCAAGAAATTGTTCGACGCCGTGGATGCTTGTGTAGAACGGCTCGGCACCTACATCGATATCTTCCAAATTCACAGGCTTGACAGAGATGTGCCCAAGGAGGAACTAATGCGGACGCTCAATGATCTGGTGAACTCTGGAAAAGTGCGCTATATCGGTGCCAGCTCGGTGAGTTTCTTTTTACTCTTATTTCCAGCAGTTCTGAAGACGGCCAGACTAATAAATGGTGGGACGTTTTAGATGTCAGCGTGGGAATTTCAGCAACTACAGGCAATCGCCGACAAGAATGGCTGGCACAAATTCATCAGCATGCAGAACTATTTGAACCTGCTTTATCGAGAAGAGGAGCGAGAAATGCTGCCATACTGTGAAGATACCGGCGTTGGAATCCTGCCCTGGTCACCCCTGGCAGGAGGGATGCTCGCACGCCCATGGGGTTCAACCACCAAACGAGATGAGACCGATCAGCATAAACTCCCCCATGGGATGGTGGAAGTACAGAAAATCATTGTCGAACGTGTTGAGGAGCTTGCACGGAAGAAGCGCGTACCCATGAGTGCTATATCCACCGCCTGGGTTCTGCGGAAGGGTGCCTGTCCCATCTTAGGGTTGACTTCAAAGGAAAGAATCGATGATGCGGTTTTGGCTTTGCAGGTCAATTTGACGGATGAAGAGGTAAGGTATCTAGAGGAGCCGTACCTGCCACGGCCTGTTACTGGATATTAGTTAGGTCTGAACGTTAAAACATACTCTCAAAAGCATCACCAGCATAGTCATAGCTCAGACTGCCGAGTAACAATGTACTACTGTCTTGATGAATTGAAAGTCTTGACCCCTCCCAAAGTCAGCCGCAAGAGTTGTGCATGTCTCTGAAGTTCTGCTACATCATTCTAGCTCGAGGTTATTGTCAAAGGGGCCGGCGCGAACCAAAATGAGGTCCGCCCGAAGATGAAATTTATCCGCCTTACCGGACTATCAATGGTGACCTATTAGGGCCGATTGTACATCATCATTGATGTGACGGTTGGTCTCGGGAGAAAAGCCAGGTGTAAAAACACACACTGGCCGGTTTATTATGCCCTGGATGGACATCTCCTGGCTCCTGCGAAGACGTCTACCTTGGGAGTCTGCAGATATCATCTCGTGTTGGAGGGTCAACAGCTCCGCTGTCGTGCTCAAATGGCAACCTGGACGTCGCGCCTCGCTATACTTGACGGCTTTCACTCATCCGACCACCTGTCGGGAAGTGATATAGATCTTGTCAGCTTACTCTGCTCAACAAAGCTTTGTACGATGATACCAAAAATGGTAAGTCTCCGAGAGCATCTCGCAAAAGCTGTCTGATTGACAATGCCTCTATCAGTCATCGATGGATCACTTTGTCGGGTTGAATCCTTTGCTCCCCTTGCTGTTTGTGGTCGTTCTCCTGTATTTTACCCGAAAATATCTACACAAGACCCGGAAAACTGAGGAAGAGGACGACCTAAAACGAGTTGATGGATTCAAGAGCGGCGGAAACTCTAGGAATATCGTTGAGCATATGAAATCCACAGGGACAAACTTGGTCGTCTTCTTCGGATCTCAGACTGGAACAGCTCAAGACTACGCCGGGAAGCTAGCGAAAGAAGGTCATTCTCGGTTTGGATTAAAAACTCTGGTCGCCGATACTGAGGACTATGACTACGAAAACCTAGTGGATTTCCCTTCGGACAGCGCCGCCATCTTTGTGTTGGCAACCTATGGCGAGGGAGAACCGACCGACAACGCTGTCGACTTTTGGCAATTCATTACCGACCAAAATCCTCCATTTGCTTCAGACAAAGAAACCCCTTTGAGTAGTTTGAGGTACGCCATGTTCGGGCTTGGAAACTCTACGTATGAGCATTTCAACGCCGTCGTTAGGAAGGTGGACAGTTGCCTAGAAGCTCATGGTGCCTCACGGCTGTGTGAGACCGGCGAAGGAGATGATGGCGGCAACAAAACTACAGAAGAGGATTTCTTGACCTGGAAAGAGACCATGTGGAAGCGTCTAGCTTCCGAGATGCATCTGGAAGAGTGCGAGCAAGTCTACGAGCCCAGTTTCGACGTCCAAGAAAAGGAAACACAGTCAGACTCACCTCTCGTCTACCTTGGAGAACCGAACTCGATGCATCTATCTGGCGAGCAGCGTGGTCCGTTTGGGGCCCACAACCCATACCTCGCGCCGATTGTCGAGTCCTTTGAACTCTTTACCGTGCCAGGACGAAATTGTCTCCACATCGAATTCGACATTGGTGATTCCACCCTAGCTTACCAGACCGGGGATCATTTGGGAGTTTGGCCCATGAATGCCGATGTCGAAGTGGAGCGCTTCCTGAGAGTGTTTGGTCTCTGGGACAATCGAAACACAGTTGTTGAAATCAAAGCTGACAGTCAAGGAAAGGTGCCTTTTCCGACCCCAACCACCTACGAAGCAGCAGTTCGATATTACCTCGAAATCTGTGTGCCTGTCTCCCGGCAGTTTGTTGGTATGCTGGCGCAGTTCAGCCCTTCTGAGGATGTCCGAAAGCAGCTGGCCAAGCTGGGTAGTGACAAGGAGTATTTCCACCAAGTAGTCGCCGCAAAGTGTCTGAATCTGGCCCAGCTTCTGGAGGCCACAAGTCCTACCCTCCCTTTTTCAGACGTGCCTTTCTCGGCTATAATCGAGAATGTACGCCGACTGCAGCCTCGGTACTACTCCATCTCATCGTCATCTCTGGTCCAGAGCCACAAAATATCCATCACTGCAGTCGTGGAATCTCGGCAGGTGGCTTCAGAGACAAAGTACCTGAAAGGTGTTGCAACAAATTATTTACTTGCTCTCAAACAAAAGAGATCGGGCGAAGTCAATCCAGATCCGTACGGAAGGACTTACCATCTGGAAGGTCCTCGAGGCAAGTATACGCTTAAGGTACCGGTATATGTGCGGCCATCCACCTTCAAGCTTCCCTCTGACGCCTCATTACCGGTCATCATGGTCGGCCCTGGGACGGGTGTAGCTCCTTTCCGGGCATTTGTCCAGGAGCGAGCGTTTTTGGCAAAGTCAGGCCAAGAAGTCGGCCATACAGTTCTCTTCTTCGGTTGCAGGCGGCGATCAGAAGATTTTCTCTATGAAAAAGAATGGCAGGTAAGGCAATCTTTTGGAAATCGCGCGATTGTTCCTCCCCAGGCTAAGCACAAGGAATCACAGGACTACAAAGATGCGCTTGGGGAGAAATTTCAGCTTTTCACTGCATTCTCCCGAGAGACCAGTCAAAAGGTCTACGTTCAACATCTCTTGGCCGAGCAGTCGGACCTCATTTACAGCCTCTTACAACATAAGGCTTATTTCTATGTCTGCGGAGATGCGGCACACATGGCCAAAGATGTCAATGAGGTGCTTGCCCATCTGGTAGCTCAAGGCGAAAAGATTTCATTAACTGAGGCTGAGAACTATATCAAAAGAATGAGGAATTCGGCTCAATACTTAGTATGTCTTTTCCTCTCCATACTACTGCTTTCTGACCGCCGACGACTCCGTTCTACCCCATACTAATGTTCTACAGGAGGATGTATGGTCATGATGCGGGTTCCAGAGTGCAGCCTAAATTTTTTACTCTCCGGGGTTGTGACTTTGCAGCTGGCGGGGGATTTGGGGGAACGCCTTCTAGACCGACAGGTAGATGGATATGTGATTATTGAAAGTGGATCATATCTCCGCAACTGTTTTGAACCCTTTGTGAATACTATGTTGCGATACTCCGTATATGCTGCGAAGCTACCATGTTCTTCTCCAGGATTCGTACGTAATGCCATTTTCCCAGCTGGTCTTTGTTGAGACTCTCCGACGAGCTGAGACCATTTCGTAACGTGAGTCTGCTACACGGGGCAATTATTTGATCTACCAGTTACGAGGGACGGTGCAACTTTTGGCAAGTCGGACCGTCAACGACAAAACAGTTATATGGTGCCAAAGAAAGCATCATCTGAGCGTTTGTCCATGCATGTCTGTAAACAGCAACGCTGTAAAGGGAAAGACGACAACTCTTACATTGCTGGCTACCGTAATACTCACGAGACGAGATGGCTCACGGACGCGTGAAAGGCTGGATCCAGGACGAGGTAAAAATTCCTTTTCCAAACGGACTTTTGCAGGGGAAAATCAACTTACATACTACTGCTACTGTTACAGGAGGAATATCAGGATATTGCTAAGACGCTTGGATTCCTCAATATGCCCAAAAGTACGGTACGGAATAGAGCCCAGAAAATACAATCCACGCTCAAATATGGAGGAAGCAAGTTGGCTTACTTTTTGTTTTGGTAATAGGACCATAAAGCGGAATTCGCAAAGGAAGAGGAGGAGATCCTCGAGCAGCTGTACAAAGGGTGGTTGCGCTACTGGAACAAGGAGTCGATGCACGACCCCGGGGCGAACCAATCACGCAGATTCTACGATTTTAAAGAGATGCTCAGCTACGATATGTTCGGGACCACCATCCGAGGCAAGTTCAACGAGCACTTTGAGAATGTGTTCCCGTACTACGTCGACGGCCAGATGGAATACAAGGACCTGGAGATCGTCGTGCTCTCTCCGACCCACGCCTTCACCACGTGCTATCAGCACACCTGGGGAAAGGCGGGCGGAGATCCCTTCAACATCACATTCCGAAGGACGGGGATTGCGAGGAAGCAAGATGGCCAGTGGAAATGGATCCACGAGCATCTTTCGTTCCCCGTCAACATGGCGACCAGGCAGGCCGACTACAATTGTGAAAGCAATGCTCTTGAGTCGTTCAAGTTTCAGGAATGACTTGGCCTTTTAAGGGGGATTGCATTTCTCATAGCCAGAATTGTGCAAACCTGAGGACTTGAGTCGTGATCGTTTTAGCATATTACTGACTGTGGCGATCTCTTGCTGGTCAAAAACCCTTGCCTCCTCATGTAAAATCTTGGTAAATGATCATTATTGATTTCAGAGTTACAGATGAACCAGGAGACTTTCTTTAAGCTACGGACTTTACGGCTCGTGTGAAAATAAAAATAAAAACACCCGCCTCTGGAGGCCGTTAATCGGCTCAATGTCGTACGTAGAGGGGGGATCAGAGTAACAGCCCAGGGCGGACAAATTGCACCTCATCCCTCCGATCCAGTCAATTTCGAAGCATTTAAGGGAAAAAAAAGACACGAAACTCACTCGACTTGATTGGGAAAACAGTTAAAAGGACCATAATTTGCGGCAGACGGTCTCGTGTCCAGAAGGATCTGTCCTTATTGCTCTTTTGTGAAAAGTCCAGACCCCCCCGCCCCTAAAACAATTTGAAACCCGCCAGCACATCCTTTTGCAACACATGGCTCCTTCCACCAAAACCCGGAGCGCGAGGACTTTCACTGCAGACGAAATCGTCAAGCACCGCTCAAAGGAAGACTTGTATCTCGTCGTTAATGGCAAGGTCTATGATGTGACGAGATTCGCAGATCAACACCCGCAAGTCAACGCCCCTCCCTCTGCACTTACCATGGAAGCTTTTGCTAACGAGACAACAGGGGTGGTCAGGAAGTACTCATCGACCAAGGCGGCGTTGACGCCACAGAGGCATTTGAAGAGGTGGGACACAGCGAAGAAGCACGGAAACAACTTGCCGAGTTCTACATCGGCGAACTGATGCGGCAGGTAAGTGGTCTCTCTCATTACTCGGAAGATTGAAGACCTACGAATTAAGATTGTCCACAGGCCGACGACGAGAAACTGCTGGCTGCGCGAGGAAAGGCTTACAAGAGCTATCACGATGACTCCACGTCTCGGGGTATGCCGACTTACGTATGGATTTTGATTTTAGTGGTAGCCAGCATGCTAGTCATTCTGGGATTACAATTTCAATTGCTATAGCTGATACTGGCGCGGCATATGCCACCAGTAGATTTGGAGTAATTGAGCTAACAGTCTGTGGCTTGTGAGTTTGACAGAGATGGTTGTCCGGATTAATGCTGTCCTCCCGCAAGATCTCCTTAAAAGATGTCACGAAGCGTGGCGTACCGACCTTCTCGCAGAGGTCCTGTCAGTACAGCCATCTTTCGCAATGGGGAAGCAAAGGGCTGCCGCACCCACACTCGAAGTTGCCAGCAAGCTCTCAAAGCATTCTTAGTCTGCCTCATTTCACGGAGACGAGTCCTAACTGGACATGCTACGTGGAGAAGTGTATACACCTGTCATGACTTTGCATGCCTCAGATCAAACTCCCCACTGCGTAAGCTGTTCAGGCCGAATTATGTATCAGGAGACCCAAAGTCGGAGTGTTGATTTCTGTCGAATGTCTTCAAACCAGAGCAAAGAGTGTTGTCACAAATCTAGAGTCTCTCTCTCTCTCTCTCTCTCTCTCTCTCTCTCTCTCTCTCCCTCTCTCTCTCTCTTTCTCTCTCCTCTTTCATACACACATCTCCCGCTCCTCCTGCACCCATACGTGTTGCATGCTGTGGCCGCGATCTCAATAAAACAAAAAATATCTATATAAACCTACACAACACATCCATCACAGACAAAGAACCAACAACACTCGAACCACATACACTAACACGTCACATACAATAAAAATATCA